GGGCGGCCGCGGAGCCGGAGCCGCTCGCGGAGTCGTCCTGCCTCAGGGAGGCGCTGTTCGCCGCCGAGCGCGTGGGTGCCTTCGGGTCCTCGTGCGGTGGGTCCGGCGGTCAGATGGCCCGCTCGGCGGACAGGACGCTGGGCCTTCGGGGCCTCGTCGTTGTCGTCGTGGTCGTCGTGGTCGAGGTCGTGGTCGTGGTCGTGGTCGTCGTCGTCGCCGTCGTCGCCGTCGTCGCCGTCGTCGTCGTCGTCGTCGTCGTCGCCGCCGCCGTCGTCGTCGTCGTCGTCGTACTTGTCGTCGCCGTCGTCGTCGTCGTCGTCGTCGTCGTCGTCGTCGTAGTCGTCGTCGTGGTCGTGGTCGTGGTCGCGCTCGTGGTCGTGGTCGCGGTTGTGATCGTGGTCGAATGCGGGGGAAGAGAAGGAGGGGGAGGGGGATACGGACGACCAGTGTGGCTTTTCAGCCATCCCCCCGCCCCCTTCAAACGTACCCCCAATCGGCGAGTTCCCGGGTGCTGTCTTGATGCTCCTCCTTTCGCATTTGCTTCGGCTTTGGCGTCATCCCTACCGCAGCCCCCTTCCTTGCAAAAGCTGAATGATTTTCATCGCGCTGGATTTCAGAATCATGGGATCAGCCGCAAGAGTAACATGCTGGACAAAATTCAGATTTATGCAATTTTCTGCCTGCCACCGTGAGTAGCACAAAATTTGAGTTTGTTATCAAGAGGTATTGGGCCCAGAACCTCGTCACCAGGGATCATCCGTTCTTTGTCGTTTCGTTTGTTTATTGGAAAAAAACAGAATTTGCCTTCTACCATATGTTTTATTGCTATTCATATTTCTGCTATTTCGGCTGATCCCAGGATTCAGGACTCCAGTTGAGCGCAGAATGTTAAACCAAATAATCCGCGCACACATAATGTTTTGAGCATTTTTCCACGTAGGACTTGTTTTTTGTTGTTTTTTTCATTGCCATTTTGGCTGATCCCTTGATTTTTGAATCCAGCGCGCTGAAAGCCATGGGCCAGCTGAAGAAAAGGTATATCATTGGATCAGGCGCTAGCCCCAAAAAGTGCTGGAAACCAAGGACCTACCACCCGAACAGGGACATCAACCGAATCAGTCTAGGAGGCTACGCCGCAGGGAATTGAAGGGGCTTCTGGCCGGCTAATCAGCTGCATAATGGAAATGCCGGGCGCGGTATATCGACTTCTCTTTCAACAGAAACGACGCAATGTCATATCAAAGTCTCATACGCGTGTTGCGCGGGGGCCCGGTTGCTGCCACATGGACGTGTTTGCGTGTTTAACACATGGGGGGTCGCCTCGAAAAACAACAATTGAGAGGCCACTTTGTCCATTCACGCTGCCGCATGGAATGGGGCGCGTGCAGAACGTATTTGTGTTTGTAAAGTGAAGCTGCATGACACACCATATTACAAATATGCAAGTTTTGAAGTGCGTTTCTGGCCGCTTCATGCGCAAAAGCAATCCAGTCTCGACGCGGACACTCTTCCATGGCAGCGTGATTGAACAAACCAGTGCCGTGATTTCTCGTTTGTTCTCAATCGAGTGTTCATGTGCTATGCGTAGTGCCCCTCTCCAATGTGGCGGCGTGGTCGGGCAAAGCTGTGCCCATGAAACACTGGTGTTGACAAGTAGCTATATTGCACGCGTGCTTATTCCCATCTGTTTCGTCCTGTTCCCGTATGGCGAATACGACAAGCCAGCGTGACTAGTTGATGCCATGCTTTGTGAGTATGCGTGTATTTATTTATTAACATATATAAATATACATATACGTTATACAGTGTACATGAATACATATGCACGTATCTGAGTGAGGGCGCCGAGCGGTCATTCACTGTCCCTGGGGGCGTGGCCGAAGTGGCGTTTCGCGGGGCGTACTGTTCGTCAATGTTGCTTGTTGCTTGTTGCTTGTTGCTTGTCGTTGTCGTTGTCGTTGTCGTTGTCGTTGTTGTTGAACATTATTTATTCTAAAGAAAAATTATTGTTGGGCCCCCTGGTGCGCGCCCCCCCTGCGCCGCCTAGGCCGCAGCTACATTTTCATCATTTTCGTGAGGAAGCCTCAGAAAAGAGGGTGTGTACAGGATCCGGTTGTTTTGTTGTAATCCGCTTTCCCTTGCAAAAAACAATAGAAAATGACATTTCTTGTTCTAATATAATCAAATTTCAAGAATCCCTTGCAAAAAATAAGGTAAAGTGGACATTCGCGCGCGCAAGACGAAATCCTTCCAAAACCTTAGTGTTCGCAGCGATTTTAACATAAAAACATCAAAAAACCAATGGTTTTTCAACAAAAAATGTCAAAATCTCATCCCGCGCGCTCTTGCGGATTCGTAGGAAACCCAACACTTTTTAAACATTTCTGTCAAACGGGCTTTTGCGAGCAACTTTTTCGAACTTCTGCGACAACGGTTGCGCACCTGCCAGGGCCATCATCCCTGTCAAATAATACCATGCGGGACACATTCGTTTTTTCTTCGCGCGCGCACGCCGTCGTCGTCGGCCGCGGGGCCCTGAATAGTAGCCACGGTCGTCCGCATGCCACGAAGTGAAGTGTCCGAACGTCATAGGGCGGGAAGCTGGGTGTGGGTGGTGGCGAAGAGTCGTTTGGAAATTTGGTAGAGCTTGAACCGGCCCCCCCACAAAGTGGGGGTATTGCCCGCCTCCTATGAAAACCCTGGCACTGGTGAGAACGGAGTGTCCCCACGTGCTAGTAATTGTTGTTGTTGTTGTTGTTGTTGTTGTTGTTGTTGTTGTTGTTGCTGTTACTATTGTTCTTGTTGGATTCTCACGACTAAAGAATTTTTTTGTAGATCCCCCCTTTCAATTGAAGTGCCCTTCCGGGGGCTCGTTCCCGGTTTTTATCGCGGAGGATCTTCCTGCTCAAATTGTGCCCCTGGCCCCCGGTTTATAACAACAACGGCTCCCGCCTGATATGTTTTCCGAAATTTACTGAGGAATCGTGCTCTCGCTAGGGATTTCCTTGCAATTTGTCCAAGAACGCGCTTTCGCCAGTGACTTCCTAGCAATTTATTCAGGCGCCACGCCCTTGCCATTCAGGAATCGCGCTCTCGCCTGGGACTTTGGCGTAATTTACTAATGAATCGGGCTCTCGCTCGAGATTTCTTCGTAAATTATGCAGGACCCACACATTCGCGCAACAAGTGAAGTGCCCCTCCAGGGGCTCGCTTTGGTTTTACCAGGGAAAGTCTTCCTGCTCAAATCGTGCCCCTGGTCCCCAGTTTACAACAACAACGGCTCTTCGCTGATATTTTGCCCACAGTTCATTCCAGAATTGCGCTCGTTCGAGGGACCTCTCCATAATTGAATGCAGGAATCACGTTTTCTCGCTCTCGCTGTAAATTTCTTTAAGATTTATTGGGGAATCGCGCTATCGCTTGAGACTGCCTCGCGACTCTAGCAACCCGCCTGCTCGACCGCGGCGCTAAGGTGAGAGCCACATATTGAAAACGACCCGCCCTCAATCCGTGAAACTCTGACAAATTTTTGACACCAACGTGCGCGGCGCTAAGGCGAGAACCACATTTTGAACACGACCCGCCATCAATCTGTGAAACTGTTGCCACTTTTAAAGCTTCAGAGTCACACATGGTGAGGAAGTCTCAGGCGTGACGCCCGGCCCACCCAAAAAACTGGCCTCGGGGCGCGACAGGGAGGAGTTATCTATACGAAGAAGGAATGGTGGAGGAGGAGGAGGAGGAGGGGGAGGATGAGGAGGAGGAGGAGGCCGAGGAGGAGGAGGAGGAGGCGGTGGAGGAGGAGGAGGCGGAGGCAGAGGCAGAGGCGGAGGCGGAGGCGGAGGCGGAGGCGGAGGCGGAGGCGGAGGCGGAGGAGGAGGCGGAGGAGGAGGAGGAGGAGGAGGAGCAGGAGGAGGAGGAGGACCAGGAGTAGGAGGAGGAGGAGGAGGAGGAGGAGGAGGAGGAGGAGGTGGAGGTGGGTTGGAGGTGGAGGTGGGTTGGAGGTGGAGGAGGTGGAGGTGGAGGAGGAGAAGGAGGTGGAGGTGAAGGTGGAGGTGGTGGAGGTGTTGGTGGAGGTGGAGGTGGAGGTGGAGGTGAGGAGGAGGAAGAGGAGGAGGAGGAGGACCGAAGATGAATCAGGGATGCTGCAGTGCACTATCCCGCTCTAAATCTTCTCTTCAGAAGTCCCTACAAGCACTCCTTCTCAGTGCGTGAATCGCCCCTGTGGAAGACCAGCACTTTTATCGGCCTGCCATTTCGGCGAGAGGCCCGTTTTAAAATGGGATTGCCTGGCATCCTTCTGGCGCGTAATTAGGAATGCGAGAGCATATGGTCATACGATCTACCGTTCAACGAGTGATCCAGCGACATCCTCTTTTGAGACAAGGAACTGCCTCCAACGAGACGTAGCGAGATCCAGCGAGATACCTGTAACTGTTGCGCACTGTGGCGCTTCTAGTCATACACCTCGAGGAGGTTTCAAGCGAGAACACCATTTCGAAAAGGAACCGCCGTCCATTCATGCAGCTGCTTCATATATCCGAGTTTCGAGTCCTTACAGTTTTAAGGAGTCACAAGCGAGAACTCAGTTTTGGAAACAGAGCTGCCCCCATCTCCGTAACCGTTGCAAGCTTTTAAGACTAATGTGCGCGGCGCTGAGGCTAGAGCCCCATGAAAGCCACCAGCCCTCCATCCTTTTAACTGTTGCAAACCCTCCATCTTTGGAGCAGTTGCAAGTTTGAACGACGAATGTTGCGAAAACGAGCGCCGCATTTTGAAACTCACCCGCCCTCAATCCGTGTAAACGTTGGAGGCTTGAAGGATGAATTGAATGTGCGCGGCGCTATGGCGAGAGCTCCATTTTGAAACCATTTGCCCTCCACCCATTGGAGCTGTTGCAAACCACTTGTGAGACGAATGTGCGCGGTGCTAAGGCGAGAGCCCCATTTTGAAAACCACCCGCGCTCCATCCTTGTAACTCTTGTGAACGTCAAGCTTCA